GGTGATCCCACTTGGAGCGCCGAGCAGCGAGGGGCCGCACACGCCCAGGAGGCTGGAGTGTCAGCTGCAACCGCACCTGCGATTTGTTGTTGGGATGTGACAAGTTTCTTTGGTATTTTTATTTTTGGTGATATGCGGGGCAGCGGTGTGTTGGCGTGTGCGGGCTGCTCATGGCTGCCGGTGTTGCCTTTCCCGCTGTTCTCCCGCTCCAGTCCTTTGCGTGCGACGGACCAAACGTTTTTACGGGCGTGTGGTGCGGCCGCGTTCTTGTTTGGGAAAAAAGCCTTTCGCAGGCATAATGAGACTGCCGTCCGTGCCACGCGAGGCAGTGGGGAATTTCCTGGGATTTATTGGCGGGGTGGCACCGCACCCATGCCGTGTGGCAGGTTTGTATTCCGCAATGCACGGTGATGGGGATGTGCGGTGACAACTTCCTCCAGTGGAGCGACACGAGCAGCACGGGGAGCGGAACGGAGGAGTGGTGGCTGCGTGCTTCCCAGTTATACGTGAATGGCGAATGCAATATGAAAGGCGGCGTCACGGCACTCTTTTGTGACACGCGCATTGCAGATATTTTCCATAAAGCATGCAAGTTGCACTCTTTTCTGTTGTGTGGGAACTTACCATGATGCATCGCTGTTGTGGCGTGTATGATTTGGGGTTCTCACGGGTGGCCGTTGCTGCACTGAATTTACTTTTTATTTTGTGTGTTTGTGCCCGTGGTGATGTGCCCACGTCCTCTTGCAGAGTGTGTGCGGTGACGGCGGTGCCACACGGGTGCGGAACCGTGGCGAGCGGAATGCGTGGACGAACCCTCCGTGCTCACCACGTTGTTGTTGTTGGCTCTCACCAACACTGTGCTGGGTGGATGGCACCCAATTGCCGTCGTTGTGGTGGTCCTCGTGCATGTGGTGTGCCGTCACAAAATGTGGGTGACTCTTTTTTTGGCTGTGAGTCATTTCTGTGAATGTTGTTTCCCTCTCATCATTATTTTGGTTGTTGGCTAGTGTTGTGCTGTAACTCAATCCAACTAATAAAACAAGGAGAAACAATGCCTGGTGGGCCCATGAGAATGCAAGGTGGCAATGCCGAGAGTCAAGCTTCTGTTGTGCCGCAGGGAGATGGTCAGACGAGAGCGAGGCAGGGGTTTGAGAGTGAGACAGATGAACCCGATGAGACGCGCAGAAGAGCGGAGGAAATGCGGCGACCGCAGTGGACTCTTGAAAGTCGGGTGGAAGATGTAATGCTGGAGGGAAGCACTAGCAGGACCAACATGAGGCTGAATGATTTTCTTCGGAATCATGTTGGCGGCGGGGTCGTTGATGAAGACCACAACGTGACGATGGAGATGTTTGTTCAGGATCCGGATGATTACGTACAAGACCAGCAGCTTCTTGAAGTGATTCTTAATTTAGCTGCGTACAGAGAGCTGGAGGCTATTTATAAACTTCATTGCGAGGGTGTATTCTCTCTCTGGCAGTGGAACATCCATGAAAGAAAGGATACGGCCACTCCTTTTGCAAGGGGAAAACTAAACGCAGCTATTTCCCAGGTGCTGAATGAAGAGAGGCGTGAGACGGAAGAAAGGCGTTGGCGGAAGAAAGGGCAAGGCGGCGGCAAAAAGTAGAATTGACCGTTGCCACCACGATCAAAGATGTGCTATTTAGAGGAAGAGTTCGCGTCATGGACATGCAATTGAATGATTTTCTTGTGATGGAGTTGGACGGCATGGGCGTAACGCCCGCCAATCGGAATGTTTTGCTGAAGGATTTTATAAAAGATTCTACGAGGTATATTCGCGGTACGTTTTTACTGCGCGATATAAAGGCATGCGATCGTTACAAGAGGATGGAGAGGGCTGTGAGGGATGAAATGGATATGGAAGAGGATGTACGCAGGCTTTGCGAGAAAGGTGTGGACAATCTACTGAGGTGGTCATTAGCTGCCGAGGAGGTAAAAAGAAGTGTTCATGAAGCCACTAAACAGTTTTTGGATGCAGGCTTCATTGAATTGATGAGCTCAATAACGATGAGTGCGCCGATGAAACTGGAGGGATGCTACGAGTCTGTGTACAATGCGAGGTGGCATCATGTCTTGGAAGTTCCTGACGGCGAGGGGACGGGAATGTATGTGAGGGAAGGGGAACCACAGCAGTCATGGACTTACAATGCAGTTGACGACACCCTCGAAAAGGATGATGGTGTGGAGCAATCCGGTGAAGCACCTCCCGTGTTGATGGTGCTCACCTCGGACAAGGGATGGCCGTACTCGTGGGAGGGGGATGAATCCACTCGTGAATGCTACGTGAACTGCGAGGTGGATCGAGTGTGGCAGATTGTTAAGGGCGATCTAACCGAGTGGCTCAGCAGTCACCGTGGGACCGACTTTGAGCCTAGGCGACGTGTGTTGATTGGGACGTCCGGTATCGGGAAGTCGATGAATGCCGGCTCGTACCTCCTCTACCAGCTGCTGCACTGCGATGTCGAGCAGCTCCCAATGGTTGCGTACTTTATTGGGCGTCAATCATTTCTGTTTGACAAGATCACAAAAACGGTGTCAGTGTACATGGATGACCCCAGGATTGTGAATGTTGTAAAAATTTTTTCTTTGCGTGGGTTTAAGGGGTATATTATCTACGACGTGGCATTGAAGGGTTATCAACCGGCTGCTGGTTTGCCTTGCAAGGGATGGGGCATGATTGTGGTGACACCGCCAGACAAAAACGAATATGAACGGTGGACAAAAAAAATGGACGCTATTGAAATCGTAATTGATTGTCCCGAAGAAAACGATGTGAGGGCAATGTGCATTTGGATGAAGCGCAATTGGCCCCTGCAGGAGCAGGCGGAATACTGGAGGGAGGTGAGGGGTCGCATGAATAACGTGGGACCAATTCTCCGCTTCATCTTTGGCAAACAGGCATATGATGACCGCATTAAAGCGTGTCAGCAGGCCGTGGATGGGTCGACCGCCTCGGAATTGGAGCGCAATTTGGGTATTGGCTGCTGTTACTCGTCCAATGACAGTGACTTGTCTCGAAAGCTTGTGAGGGTTGTCCGAGTACGACGAGGAAACAATTTTGAGTCGCCTCTGACTGTACTGATATCTCCCCACCTCGAACGTGAAACTTTGTCCAGGTTGGAGAATGAAATGAAGCAGTCCGATTTTATTTTTTTCGTTTTGAGGTTCTGGGATTATGCCCCACCATATATTATTGAAAAGCATGCCGTATCCGCATTTTTGAATGAGGATTTCCTGCGTGCGATAAGACTTAAAATCAGGGAACTGAGGCCACCAGGACGACGTGAGCCACACCGCTGTGCGCTGAAAGAGCACTCAGACAAGAGCTTCGCCAGAAAAGAGGTTCTACCGCCACCGGAACGCCTTTCCAATCCGGTGGCTATGGACCACTGGGTGCTGTATGAGCCGAAAGTCCAAAACTTTCCGCTGGTGGACGCTTTCTTTTGTGGACACAAATCCGAAGACGCTGGTTGGGCTGCGGATGGCTACGGCGGGTGGGCACCACACGACAACCAGCACTGTGCGGCAGTTCACTGAGTGCCTGGCGGCATATTTTGATGGTTGGGAGGTGTTATCCCGAGACCTGTCGTGGGAGATGATTTACGTGCAGCACGCAGACAGCACGCCGATGACTGACTGGCAGGGATGTGATGTCGTCGACTCCAATAATGTGAGCCGCGCTGAAAACCGAGAGATTGCGGCGTTCTGGGAGGAAGAGGTGCGCCAGTACATAGCAGCAATATCGTCGGACGATGCCAGAAGGAACGAAGCTCTCTGAAATGGGGAAGAACCACCGAAATGGTAAGAATAAATTAGGGAAAGGGGCAATTTTGTTTTTTGGTAAAGAAATATTGTGAGAGTTATATGTTTTGTGATACTTTTTTGTGTGCATGCGGTGCGGGTGCACCAGCCCCATACGGCAACACCGCACACAAATGTCAAAGTGTCCAACGCTATCGAAAATAACAGTGGCAGAAGAAATTAGGGAGAGAAAGGGGTTGTTTGGTTTCTGGTAAAAACATTGGGTGATTTCTACATGATATGTTAGTTGTGTGTGTGTTATACGAGGCACAATTGGAGAATTGCCCCGGTATGAAAAAAGCATTGTGGCTGGCGGTGTCGCAGTACTACTGCATTGTCCATTTTCTTCTATTGTGCTCTAAGGCCCATCACGAATAGAAGCAGCTTTAAGGGATGGAGGGCGAATAAGTTCTATTGGGGAAATGGTGCGCTGCGTGTGACCGCATGGAGTGAGGCGCCGCGTCATGGATGGGTGAGGACTCCTCTTCCGCGTGTGGGTGGATGGGAGATTACTCGCTCCGTGTGCGTTGTGTGTTGGCAGTGGGCTGTGGCTGTATCCCGTTGGCCGTGGGACTGAACTGGAGGCGGTGGCGGTGTGTCTCTTCCCGTTCTTGTCCACGGTGGTTGACTGCTGGCGGTGTGTGCGATATTGTTGTGTGGAGGGCCGAATCTTCTCACCCACGGACTGGCAGCACTGCGATGGTGTGTGTGGGAGGGCTGGTGTGGAGTTTCCGGCCGGGGCGAGGCCGTGGCGGTGCTTTTCCCGTCTGCCGTTTGTTTGTGTGCTTCTTGCTTTTTTCCCCCCACCCTCTCCTCCTGTGTTCCTGCGTGGAGTGGCCGCATGCTCACGGGCCATGTTGATTGTGAGTGCCTCCTGACGGCGTCCATTTCCCTCTCTCTCTTCACCTCTCTGTCATTCCCTGTTGGGTGTGGCGTGTTGCACGGCGTGAGGGCTGGCCCGCCCACACCGACGGCCCGCCGTGACTTGCCGCGATGGCCGGTGCGGAGTGGCGGTGCTCGCTGTCTCATCTCTTTACTTGGCTTGCTTTCCCTTTTCCCTCTACCTCTTGAACACAGACACGCTAGGAAAGAAAGCAAACAAGCGCTACTCGCCACTGTGAAATTGTAAGGCACTGAAAGAACCAACAACAGCACACACCGCCCACACACATATTTGTATGCTCTCACGTGTTGTTGCAGTGAAGGCACCCCGCACACACAACCGTCGCCGCGTGACCGGATCCAGCGGAAGGAGGAGGGAAGGAAGAGAGAGTGAGCGGCAGAGGCCCAACACGTCCCGACATCACTTGTGTTCCGCGGTGCTGCTCCTACTTGTTGTCATTGTTTGCGGTGGCAGTGGGACTGTGACTGCGGAAGCTGCGGGGAAGCCATCCGAAACAAAGTTTGAATGGAAGAACATCAAGGATGAGGGTAGTGGTGTAACTGTGGAGTCGTTGGGCGCTTCTGGCCTTCTAAAAGTGGGGAGTGACGTATTTGTCGTTGCCGAGGCGCAGTGCAAAGAGACGAAGGAAGGTAAAGATAACTTGTTTTTTGGCATTTCGTCCCAACTTCTCACGATGGAAACTACTGACAAGCCGGCGGAAGCGCTGACGGATCCCAAAGCTAAGACACAATTACTGGAGGAAGGCACTTCCACAGAGGTGAAGAAAGTAGATGTGAGCCGACCAACAACAGTTGTGAAGGGAAATGATATTTACATGCTTGTTGGAAAATACGGCCGGAAAGCTGCCACTGGTGTTCAGGAGAGAGATGCAGTTGACTGTGGATTTTTGCTGGTGAAAGGGGAAGTCGGTGGTGAAGAAAGTGGCGGTGGCAAAGGAATCCAGTGGAGCGATACCAAAAGTCCCCCGCAGACACATTTATGCGAGCAACACGAATTTTTAACAGGACTGATTGGCGGCGGTGGATCGGGTGTTAAGATGGAGGACGATACGCTTGTGTTCCCAGTGGAAGGTACAAAGAAGAAGGAGAATGAGGGCACTGAAGAGGATGGAAAAACCGTTTCACTGATCATATACACCTTGAGTACTGCGAGTTGGACGCTGTCGAAGGGGATGACTGACGGTGGCTGCAGTGTTCCCTCCGTCGTGGAGTGGAAGGACAAAAAACTCATCATGATGACTGCGTGTGGTGATGGCCGCCGCAGGGTGTACGAGTCCGGTGACAAGGGGGA